TGGTGCCATAGATTGAGTCAACGCAAAATGCGGTCTTATTAATAAGCCATGTTTTGAGTTAAATTCAATTTACGGGTTGTAAGGTGCATACCATGTTTTGCGTTGACTCAATCTGTGGTATCGCAGTCGTGGGTTATAGCCTAAGACCGTGGTGCCATAGATTGAGTCAACCCAAAATGCGGTCTTATTAATAAGCCATGTTTTGAGTTAATTTCAAATCATGGGATGTAAGCTGCATACCATGTCTTGCATGACTCAATTTGTGGCATCGCAGTCGTGGGCTATAATAGCCGAAGACCGTGATACCATAGATTGAGTCAACGCAAAATGCGGTCTTACTGCTGCGAGCTAGCAGCAACATAATCAGGATTTAAAAGAATATATAAAAGGGAGTACGAATTCTCAAATTCATCACTTTTTACCAGAATGCATTGCATTGAACAGAGTGCACTGCACCACTTTTTACCAAGGTGCATTGCGCGATGAACAACACGAGGATGTCATACCGTCTTTTTGCGTGGATTCCAGTCAGAAATTTTGCTCAGATTTACCTGTAAAACGAAGTGAAGGGGATCGTGATTGACTTTCACAACTCTTGTTTTTGTTTTTAATGCAGTACGTGAAAGTTTGTAACTCTGGACGATTAATTGTGACATATTATTTTCAACTCAGTATGTCATTTCTTAGCAATCTCGCCTCCATGGTCGAATTCTAAATTCAAAGGGGTCAACACGATACTGAAAGAAAACTACAAGTGTCGCTACTTGTCGGCTATCGAGAAGGTTGGCGATACTTAAGTTAAAAATGACACATTTTGAGATAGAAAACAATCTATTCAAATCATTTTTCAAAGTGGCATTTTCATGGAGACATGAANACTTGTCGGCTATCGAGAAGGTTGGCGATACTTAAGTTAAAAATGACACATTTTGAGATAGAAAACAATCTATTCAAATCATTTTTCAAAGTGGCATTTTCATGGAGACATGAATTGCGACGCCTCAAACTATGTCATCATCAATAGGACATAGATTGAGTTAGAAATAGCAACTCAAAATGCGTCTTTCCGCCGCAAAGTCATAGTTGGCAATAACGCAAAACATGGCCATGTCCTGAAACCGTATTTTGCGACAACTCATACCATGGTCTCAATTCTCTGCACAACTTCAGGATTCATTCCATACTTAATACTAATAAGGAAAAGGGGTCATAAGCAAGTTACTTTTCCAAAAGCTCGCACCACAGTTAGCATTATTTCAATGTATGGCATGAGTGATAGACCGTAGATTGAAATATCTCAAAATGCGCCCAAGGTGGAACCAACGGCTTTGTGATAGTTTTGAGGCAACAATTGCTGTATATTCCTTCTACAACGAGAGGCAAACGAACAAGAATTATTTGAACATACAACTTTCCGCCGTCAAATATAATAAATATTAATGCTTGACGGAAAGAAGTACGTCAGATCTTGTTAGCTTAATGTGGACTGGACTGAATTTAACTCAAAACATGGCTTACCATTAACACCCTATTTTGCGTTGACTCAATGTATGGCACCACAGTCTTGGGCTATAGCCCACGATTGCGATGCCACAAATTGAGTCAAGGCAAAACATGATATGTACCTTATATACCATGATTTGAATTTAACGCAAAACATGGCTTATTATTAAGACCGCATTTTGCGTTGACTCAATCTATGGCATCACGGTCTTAGGCTATATATAGCCCACGATTGCGATGCCACAGATTGAGTCAACGCAAAACATGGTATGCATCCTATATGCCATGATTTGAATTTAACTCAAACATGGCTTATTAATAAGACCGCATTTTGCGTTGACTCAATCTATGGCACCACAGTCTTGGGCTATAGTCCACGACTGCGATGTCACAAATTGAGTCAACGCAAAACATGGCCCATGATATCCCATTTGAATTTAACTCAAAACATGGTTTATTAGAAAGACCCTAATTGGCGTTGTTGTTTCTTGCCGTCTTGGGTATTCAGTGATACAACAGCCAGGCCCCAATTGTTCAACGGTGGATAACGCTATCCATAGTGACAGTGGATAGTGTATTTTATAATTCTGTTAACACTTATCCATTAGATATCGATTTATACGGCGGATAGCGTTATCCAATCTTTGAACTACCGGGCCAAGATGTATAATGAGGCTACCCAGACGATTGATCCCTCTGATAGCTTGATGCGACTAGTACAAATACTAGCGAATAATCAGCCGGCCTTCTAGACGAAGTTGGGGAAGCATTTTAAGTTCATTGATAACATAATCTGTGTGTGAATAGCATTAAAGTAACATTCAAGCACCAAAAACCAAGTCTTCAAGGAGTGTTTATAGCAAGTTCACTTGGTCTTGCACGTTTTGAAATGCTTTAAAAAAAGCTCCCCTAGATATAAAATGCATAGTTAAGAGACACAACCCTGAAGGGAACTAAATCTACTGATTTTGATATAATCCTATATTATCCGACCACCCTGCTTCATGTTATGACCAAATTGTTATGCCGCGAGTAAGTGGTCGTCTTATTATGGTTGCGCTTCTAGTTTTCATTTAATTGAGTTAAGTTTTAAACTAGAAGACACTTAAGAAAATCTCATCGTGTAATTAAATTTGACATACGCGCTATTGCCAAAAGAAATGGCAAAGTTCCTTTCCTGGAAGCTATCCAAGGTTCTAATTGTACACTTTCCACGTCACGCTTACTGACAACCACTGAATTGATGTTCTGTTGAGTAAACGCCACAACGTGGATACCTACCACCAAATGACTACTGTGTAACACACTCAAAGCCAAAAACAAACAAACAGACAAAACAAAGTCTAAAACAAAATTGAAAGCAGAACTCGTAACCAAAGCGTGCTAAAAGTTTAACCAAATCATTTAGAAAAAACTTTAATTAAACAAATCTCCAAAGGTTACCAAGAGGGACACAGGGACGATGACTTCCCCTTGTCCTATCTACTTTTACAGCAGAGCAAATCTATCACTTTGATGTCTGCTGAATCAAATTTAGAACCTAGCAAAAACAATGTTTGATTCCTTCAACAACACTAGCGTTTCGGGTATAAACTAAATGAAGTCTTGCGCTTGTGATTCCTAAACTAAAAACTTCTAGAGAAAGTTGATAATGGGGAGAATATGCAACGAAGACGACGACGACGACGAGAACTTAAAAACATCAACAGGTTTACCTTTCTTTGCCGACACTGCACAACTGCAACGTGAAACGTCCTACTCTCACGTTTGTACGTGAACGCAAGATGATTTTGGATGGTCGTTGAGAATTTAACTCCAGGGAAATTCGCCAACAATTTGACAAGGTGAACGAGGTTGAATAAAAAGCGACGAGGTTTGAAACAGCGCCAATTCACTTTAAGTGACGTGTTCGCCACCGTCGCCATCCCTAAAGTCGTGCTTGCTTAAGCTCCCTAATATACAGTAACTATAAAATGACTCAGCCTTGTCCCCAGCATCTTCTTGCAAGCAGCAAGAGATAACTGTTAAACACCAGATCACATATCCTTATAAAATTATTACTCAATCACGAGTTTAGTGACATTTTGAATAGTCATGTGATGATCTCTGCTATTTTTTTTCTGATTCTCACAGCCGCTACTTTTCGCGAGTCTGACGCCTACTTCAAAATCTTTCTTTCAAGCAACCTACATGCATTATTATGGCAACGGAATTTTTGGACAGTCATTTCATTGATGGCTTTCCATACGTCACACAATTCACTAACAGCAATTAATGTGGGTCAGTCAATGACCAACGGAAACTGGCACAGAAAATAATTGTCTTACTTTATCAGTTACCATCATTACATTATCAACCAGCAAGGGTTAATCCAGGGAAGGTAACACCTCAGAATAAGGCAAAAAAAGCTCTACTTACTCTCAGTGTTTAGGATTTTATACAACTTTCCCGGCCTCAGTTCATTGTATTGTGCAAAAACAAGGTTTTCGTCAAAATTACAATTTTTAAATAAATTGTACATGTATTTCCGTTGACTAAACATCGAAGAGTTTTTTCCAGTTTTTTGATCTATGATTTCTCATCACAACTGTCCACTTATGGAGAGGAGGACAATTGACTGTACCAACCTCCCAAAGATCTTTAACCTGCTGTAAGTTGTCAATGTTCCTTGGTATGACCAAGGAATCCAGCCACTCAGACAAGAACCAGAACCATACTCAGTAAACATTGCTATTGTTGCAGGGTCAGTAGTTGCTGTAGACAAAACTGGCTGATTCATTGTTGGAGGGACGGAGACTGTTGTAGGATTAGACCAAGTAGGTTGGGTTCTGAAAACATTGCTATTGTTGCAGGGTCAGTAGTTGCTGTAGACAAAACTGGCTGATTCATTGTTGGAGGGACGGAGACTGTTGTAGGATTAGACCAAGTAGGTTGGGTTCTGGATGGAGGAATGAGGGTGGTCGCAGGGATGGACAAAGAAGGTTGGTTGCTTGTAGGTTGGATGAAGGCTGTAGGATGCTTGGACAGAGTAGGTTGATAGACTGCAGATGAGACGACAGCTGTTCTATGGGTGCCCAAAGTAGGCTGGTTGATGCCGGATGGAATGAAGGTCGTTGTGGTCATGGACTGGGTGGGTTGGTTGCTTGTAGACGAAATGAAGCCTGTTGTATTGATGGGCAAAGTATGTTGACTGCTTGTAGATGGGATGAAGGCTGAGGTTGAAATGGGCAAAGTAGATTGACTGCTTGTAGATGGATGAAGGCTTAAGGATGTCTTGATTGAGTAGGTTGATTGATTGCAGATGAAACAAAGCTTGATGCTGGGAAGGGAAAAGTAAATTGGCTGCTTGTAGACGAAATGGAGACTGAAGTTGAGAAGGGGAAAGTAGGTTGACTGCTTGAGGATGGGATGAAAGCTGATGTTGGAATGGGAGCAGTGGGTTGGCTGCTTGAAGGATGGCTGTTTCAAGGGGTGGCGAAGACAGCAGGGTTGCTTAAATTAGAAGAAGGGATGGTGGCAGCATTGTTGGAAACCATGGAAATAAAGACAGAAGACCAATAGGCCACTTGCCTTGCTGCATGGAGAGCAGGACCAACATCACTTTGTGGCTGATATTCCTCCAGTTGTTGTGTGATGTTGGTCATCAGGTGTATCAGGTTGCTTGGTGGTCTTCCTTGAGGTGCTTCATGGTGCTCGATATCATGATGCAAAGCAGCACTTATTCTTTCTGCATGATTAACTATTTGCGTCATGGAAGGAATTGGATGAGATAAAATGTTGTGGATTTCATCCCGAGATTTCAGAGCCTCTATTACTTCAGAAAGATCTGTCTCCTGCAAAACAAAAATGAGTCACAATTGAAATTATAAACACAGTAAAAGCTCTCTTCTCAAATGTAGACATTTGTTAAAGAAAATGTCCTTGGTTTTATATACTCGTGAGAGAAAATCTCTAACATGGCTGATCAATACTACGGACACGCATTTCTATTTTTTTTACTCCTTGGCTTAGCCCAGCGAAACAATAACATCTTTAATGCTATGCTCACTCTATAAATTCAAACACTCAAATAGCAATGTCAAATTCCTGTCACCGTCCATATTTCTTCCACTCCAAAGAAATGCCTGCACTGTGATTAGTCGTATAAAATTCATGCACTCTGCTTACATCGTGTGCAATAAGATGCTTTATTACATGGCTTTTTCCATATCGAACAGATGACCCAAATTCTGTCCTGTAATTAGCTTCCCGAGCGGGCAAGGTGGTGCTATCTTGCCCACTTGGAATTACCAGCTGTGTCCCGCAAGAAGAATTTCCGTGAAAGCCATATAATAAATCCTTAAGCGACGAAGCTTGTTCAGTCCACATGAATGGATATTGGCCTTGTTCTTTTTTTGGTGTGTTTGTGGACCTCAACTCCGTCTCGGTCGATAAGCACGCAAAAAGAACTTGGCCAATATCCAGCCATCTTGACCTCACCCTTAGAAAATAACCCCTATTTATCACATTACAATGCACTGATTAGATCACCAAAATGACCACATACAAATCATGAAACATTTTTTAAAGGAAATAGTTGCTTGTTGTGCATTGTTTAGTTATATACATGTATAAGCATGCATTGGAATTAAGACAAGGAGAGATAAGGAGACCCTCTCTCCTCTCTCTTATGGTTTTTGAGATTTTATGCATCAGTATACGCAACAACAAACATATGCATGGTATTGTAATAGACAAGCAAAGAAATTAAATTTGGCCTGTTTGCTGATGACCTGACCGGCTTTTTGAAAAATGATTTTTCTTTAACAAATTTTCTTAAAATCATAGAAGATTACGGAATTTGCTCAGGCCTTGATATTAACCATGAGAAATCAGAAATATTGTTATTGGGCAATCGCGCTTACATTATACCGGAAACCAATGTCGTTCCTGACAATATTCATAATATAAAAGTCAAGAATTCTGTATAAATGTTGGGAGTACACTTCTATTATGCTTTCCACTGGAGGGATTTGACTATTATCGGAATAATCCAAAATGGCAAGACGTTTATTATCCCTATTTTCTTATATGGGGCGAGCTTAAGCCCCACATGTAGAGTCTATTATTGAAACGCAGAGTACAAACTTTGTTGCAAGAAACTGGCAAGCGATCAGCCGAGCAGCTGGAAAACAACTCTTCTGCACTAACTAAAACCTGTTGGTAGGAAATTAATTTTATGTTTTATGTTGCAACTTTGAATTGCAGAAATTGCCGATAAAGCTACCAAAATTCTATGCTCTGCAGCAAATAGGGGAAGCGTACAGGATTTAAATGGAAACGATCTTGAAAAATTATTCTGTGGAATAATAAGTTTACTTGTACTGGAGGCAAGTCTGTGTACTTCAAAAAACTGGCAGAGAAGGGAATAATTAAAATTGGGGAATTAATCCCCGATAACAATGAACTTATTGTTAAAAATAATCGCAGGCTGAGGGAACTAAACATTTCGCCACTTAATGCTTTTAGACTTCTTGATTTAATTGATGCTTTACCACTTGAATGGTGCGAAGGTTTAAAAGCAATTTCCTACATAGAGGATGAGCCTTTTAATATACATGATGAGATCAAATTAAACTGAAACGAGCAAACTGTTCTAATCAAAACAGTGGCTTCCAAAACTGTCTATAGGAAACTTCGAAATAGAATCATCACTCCACCAACAGCTCAGCTGAAATGTAACACCAAATTTGTTACGATGTCTTAGAATGGAAGTAGATTTACAGATTGCCTTTTCGCGCTGTCTTGGATAAAAAATCCCGTGATTTTAAGTACAAATTGCTCAACAGATGTCTGGTAACAAATGCTTTTTTGTTCAAAGTTGGACTTGTATCAAATCTGGCATGTTCTTTTTCTGGAGAAATGGATAAATCCCTCATGCACCTTATTACATCTTGTCATTACTCAAAGAATTTTTGGGCTGAAGTGATAAAACGGTTTGATAAACAAGGGATTAACATTGCTAATCTCTCTGATAAAGATATAATGTTTGGTCTTGTACAAATGTAAGGTGCAATGATGAAAAATTTGTAAACCACATTCTATTAGTTGCCAAACAATACTTATATTATTGTAGACAAAAAAGTTCTTTACTTCCAATTAGAGTGTTAGACTCAAAAATTAAAATGGTTTACCAACTTGTAACAATTATAGCCAAATCTAGTAATAAAATGTCAGCTCAGAATATAAAATGGGCCAAATACAAAGTACATTAATGCGCAATTCTGTAACGCTGCTGCACGTATATGTGACAAAAAAATATTTACAATGTAAATAGATGATGATGAAGGGGTGTGTGTGCACGTGTATGTATGAGTGTAGTGAGTGTAAGTGAGTGTAGTAAAAAGGTAGTAAGTGAGAGTAGCGTGTAGTAAAATTGTATGTAAAACTGAAAATAAATAAATATCATTCAAATAAAAAAAATGCATGGGAATTTAAAAAAAAATGGGAGAAGTGTTTAGAGAAGCACTCGCCTGTGGCTCATGCATGAAATTCCTGAATGCTTCTATAACTTAACATGCACATAGCAGTGTTTACTACCTTACTGCATGTATGGATACATACCTGATCGCCCTCTCCATCCTAACTGGATAACTCTTCCCACTGGGATTCTGACTCTGAATTCGCCTATAAACAAAATCAACCCCCCCCCCAAAAAAAAAGGAAATTAATTTTTCTACAAAAGAACCTTGTTTTGTTTTCTATTCTGCTGTTGATACAATGTAAGGGTTTCTAATTATTCATAACATACATGTAATGCTAGAATAATGTGGAAAAATGCAACACGGAGAATGTTTGTCTGGTTTGGAAGCCATTATGACTAGCAGCAACTCTAGATCTGTAAGTATGAATACAGTCAACACACTCATAGCTACCACTTCTTGTAAGCGAACCACCTCCCGTAAGCGGTCTTTGTAAATACCCGTTTTGTTTCTCAGAAAATACTACTAACCGCCAACTCAAATTACTTAGGCAACCAAGACCAGTTTTTAGTTAGGCCAGAAGTTTGACATATTCTTTTGTTTTCTGTTTCCAGTAAGCAACCACCCAACATGATCACGTATGATCGTTATGAAATCTTTACTCAGAAGTGACAAAAGTTCAGTTTTCAATAACACTAACCAGACTGATGACAGATAATAACAGTTTACATACGAAGACTATGTCTGTGAACAGATCTTGAGGTAAAGAGAAGAGACTCATTGACAGGTACACTCTACTGTACTTTTCCCAAAAATTGTTGCATGTGAAAAACAGAAATCAAACAGCTTTGTTTCTATTTGCCTAATTTAAGCTAATAAGGTAATATCTTTATATAATTGATCAGTCAATCTAGCACTGGGCTTATTTTGTTGATTTTCCCCGTAAGCAACCACTTCGTCTTGCACCAGGGGAGGTCGGTTACAAGAGAGAACTTTAACTTGTTTTTTCCTTCTTGACTAAACAAAAGGCAAACAACCAACAAAAAACTATAGGGATATGAAAATTTCTTGTCCATTAATTTTATTGCTTTTCTTGTGGTTTAAACATGCATTTGAAACACTATGGAAAGAACAAATTTCAACATTTACTCAGACTTCATGATCATGGTTTTTCAAGTCATACCATGATAAAATATGACTTGGGTTAATTACAGGCTCTTAATAAGGTATAAGGCTAGGGGAACAGAAAATCGATTGTTTCCACTTCTAAACCTTTTAATGACTATAATTTATGGCCTATTCAGAATACCACGTCTTGTTGGACACTGTATGTAAAGTGCCTATACAATGCACTGAGTACAAAAAAAATTAAACCCCAGCACACCAGCAACACATACTGAAGGGAACTTTAGGCCATGAGAAAGTTTAAAAGTTGCAGCAAATTGTAGGTCACAAACTAGTAGCTATATCATGAAGGGTTTGCCACTGAATTTTTCATGCAATCTGTCAACCATGTCATCTAGAAGTCTATGTACAAGTTAATCCCTGCTGTACATTTTTGGCTTTTATGATGTTCACTTCTGTTGAATTGCCTTATTATAACTGTTCACATTTTTCTATTTACCACAGCAGTAATGAAATTAAATATAAAAATTCACAAAGTTTATCTTTACACCTCACCTCTTCATCAGACTCTGACTCTCCAGACAAATCCTGAAACAACATAACAAAGCAAAGCAAAAATGATCCTCTATGACAATGTCTCTTTATACAGCAACCTGTGTTTACGGAATGTTAACCAACTTCCTCACTTTAGATACAACACTTACTTTCACAATAGCATAATAACTAACACTAGCAGAAGTAAAAATAAACAAAACTTTGCGGGTGCTCAGGGCCAGCATTTTCTTAATACCTTTAAAAAGCCACCACAACGGTTGCATTTAAGACTATAATAGCTGTTGAAAATACTGTAATATGAAATACAGTAGAACGCTTGGAAGGGAACATAAAAGGCACAATGAACAAAACAATCACGATGTACATGTATGTACACCGTAATGTGTTAACTGGTAAACAAGGGCAACAACAAAATCACAAGCAAGGTAGAGCAGTTTCTTCTTTTGTCTCTTAAGAAAAACAGAAAACAAATGGTATCTTAAAAAAGGTTTGCAGGTTGCCTTAACTTTTAAACAATTTTTTTTTCATTCAAAACCAGAGATAACTTCCATCCTGTTTTCACCAATGTATGCACCTCCAAAGATTACTCAGTACAACTTATTATCCACCAGCCCACACCCACCCCCCAACCCCGGGGATTACGCATTTGATTCTCCTAAAGTGAACTAACTCCCCGCTATATGGAGCAAGTTCAG